CGTATGTGATTATTTCTCCCTTGCAAACAAATTTCCTTCAACTGTAAACAATAGTAGATATTGAGAAAGTCATATTAGATGTTTGTAATTGGTCAGATAGGTACAATAACATATTGACTATATCCACAACCTAGGTTGGATCCTAGATGGCGTCACCAAATCTACAAAATTAGGTCTCGCGCCGGATCCGCGAGCACCGCCGGATCTTAGGCTAGCGATTCAAGCGTATAGTGAGTGCTGTACAAGGTGTTCAGCAGACGTTTTAGTGTGCGAAACTTGGGTCGTAGCTTGCGACGGGCTCGCCGGTTGCTGGGCCTGGAGCGAGGCCCGCGTGATTCGCGGCTTAGGGTTAGAATCCCATGTCCGTGTTTTTTGGCAGTCCCTGACCACTGCCAATGTCGAAAACTGTTCGTGCGGCGGCGGAGGCTGCTCTTGTGTGCGGTTGCGCGGGCTGAAGAGGATTCAGATCCGATGCAGACCGGTTCTCTGATGAACGATCGAAAGCGATGATTATTTCAGGCCGACGTTCATGAAAAGAGCTTCGCCGCGTCGGTGTTGAGACTCGAGTGGCGGCGCAGGCTGCTTCTCGGCGCGTGCGAGCGCGGGGACGACGCCGTCGAGTGGACGTGTTGCTTCGGACCGGTGCTGCTGCGTCGAGAACCTTTCGTTGAATGGAAGTGGGAGTGAGAGTGCGAGTGGGAGCGAGTGACCGGCGCGGACTCGTCGTAAAAGCTCAGATCCGCTTGCCAGCTAGAGGAGCTGCTGCTGCTGCTGGTGCTGCTGCTGCTTCCGCTGCTGCTCCAGCTGCTGCTGATGCTCTCCCACGCGGCGTCTTCGCCTCGCGAGCAGACACGTGGCGAGGATACGTCAATCTCAACGGCTTTCTCGGCGCCGAACTCGTCATCCTCCGCGAGCGAAGCGGCGCGATCTGATTGCGTGGCGCATTCGGCGAGAGACGACTCGAGGATGCGGATGAAGTTTTGGCAGTGGACCGCACTGAGCTGGCGGTGAAGGTCGAGAAGATGCAGCTTGCTTTCGAGCGCTTCAAGCTCCATGGTGTGCACGAAACTTCAAGTTGGCGTAAAGCGAACGGCTTGCGAAAGAGGGATCTTTGACTGGAATCCTAATTAGCCTTTTCTCTTATGCTGGATAGCAACGAAGTCTGGATGTCTAGAAGACTTGGTCTTGCACGAAAGACGGAAGACAAAGCAACGGCTTTGAATGACGATGGTGAAACATTGACTAAGAAAAAACTTCCTTGCAGGTGTTTTATGCTGGACACCCAAGGCTGCTGTGGGATGGGGGGGAGTCTAAGGGGAGTGAGGAAGGAGGAAGCCAGAGAGACGAGGCGGGCGGAGGGGAGTCGAAAGGGGGAGTCAAGGTGGGTGTGTGGTGTGGAGGAGTGGTCAAGCGGGGCAGACGAAACGACTGGTGGTGGTGATGCGCGGCGGGATGAGCATCTGCGTCGTATAATGGGGTACGGGGAGGTGGTGGGGGTGAGTTGGGGGTGTGGGATTGGCCGAGGGAGGAAACCGACGGGGGGGATGGGGCGAGGGGGGGATCGTGGGGAGAAATTGAGGGGGAGACGAGGAGGCCATATGGGGGAAGCCTTGGAGCTTGGGAACAGTGTTTCCGCGTATAGGCGGAAGGTTCGCAAACGAGATGCGATCGTGCGACGCGAGATGGGCTCGATCAGGTTTGGGTTTCGTGGCGGGAAGAGGATTGGGCTCGTGGTCATGCTGGAAAGTGGAGCAGGTGGTGGCAGCGAGAGGGTGTGGTGTGGTGTGGAAAGCTCCGATCTGGAGGATCATGCGTTACATCACCATTAATGGCCACGATCGGAGAAGTGTGCAAGGGTGGGCGTCGTGTGACGTGTTTTGTGTGGGGCTGCTTGACGCGGGATTCTGTTCGTTGCATGAGGTCATGAGGTGAATCCTATGTGGCCCACCGACACGAAAGCTCTGGAAATCGTGACTATTTCTCGAAGTTACTCTGACCAAGCTGCGCAAGAATTTGTGCCGTTCAAACACTTCAATCAGTGTGATTGTGTATGTGAAGAACAGGTGCGCTGGGTGGGAAAGAAGAGTATGAAAGAGTAAAGTTCGCGAGGAACAGTCTATCAACAAGTTCAAAATCCGTTTGGGCACCTACACCAGATGAACAGCGAGCGAGGTGAGCAACTGTAGCTGGGATGCTGAACGCTCGTCCATCAGTTACAAGCTGACTGCCAGCTCAGTGCCAGCAGATCGCAAGTGCAAGTGCGCTACATTAAGAACCGCGTCAACGACACCCAAGCGAACATGCAAGTAGCATGTCAACTATGCAAGGGTGACCTGTCAAACGCAATTGAAGGACACAATCGTGTTAAATGCAGAATTAGTAGGGTAATAGTTACCAAACCTTGATGCATGGTTTGGTTAGTCGAACAAAGTGCGGAAAGGATGCTGCAAAATGTAACTTATCCATTCAAAAAGTGACTCTAACGGAAGGTTTACAAGGAACACAGCACAAATTTATCAGAGCACAGCGAATCTTCCCACCCCCAACTGACCGAAAGCCGACCGTTCAGTGAGTGACTGGTGTTCCGTTCAAATCTCTGCATGAATAAATGCATGAAGGAGAAGCATTCGCCAGACGGAATCGCTATCAAGCGCGAATCGTCCCTCACAGTTGGAACGGTCGGATCGGATTGGGGGGAAGTGGCCGACCTGCTGCATGTGGGGTGGGGAGGGATCAGATATGAATGCGATGACCATCCCTCCACGTGAAGTCCGTGACACTCTGCATGTGCCAAGTACACCCTATTTCGCGCTAGTAGAGAATCTGGTTGCAGAACATACACGGGTTGTAGAACGTCACCACGTTCAGAACGGTCTTGTCACCAACTGTACAAGCACAATGCGAAGAATGTTGTTAGGTGAGGTTATGCACGTTACAAAAAGCTTTTTCAGCGTTTTCATTTGGTTGGGTGGGTTATACAGCGATAATGGAAATTTTACGCCCTTGAGCCAGTTTGTCACGTGGTTCGGCTTTTCCCCCCAGGTTGCTAGGAACGTTTTATGGCACCTGACCGCATGAGACAAGTACTGTAGCAACGAGTCGCGCTTGGTGAAAAGGTTGAGAAAGAGGGTGTAACAGAGTTGCTCCGACGCCAGCTGGAGGTGCCCCCCCACATCTGAGTCCACACCACTCCAAACAGCTGAGCCTGCATGCACCCTGTCAGTCGGTGCCACGGAGGACGCGAGATCACAGAGTGGGTGCACCCACAAAGTGCTACAGTTGCGGAAGAGTTGGCGTTTGGTGGGTCGTTTTGCAAGGGCAGTTGGGCTGACCCTTCCCGAATTGCGTTGCGACGAGAGAAATTTCACTAGTAGCTTCGCTGGTTTCAGAAACTTCGGCCACAAAATGACCAACGCCAAGCTGGTCACATTCATCTTGCCTTTGTATGAGTTGAAAGGAATTTCCGCCTTTACAGAGGTTGTACTGCATCGCGTACAATCCGAACCATTCGCCTCGGCAAGTAAACCGTGGCCCGAACCTATGCCTCGGTTAAGGTGATACGCGCTGCAGTACAGGCCCGAAAGTGATTCCTTATACTTACAACTCATGACAGTTGCAAGTTTTTTTTCCGCTTCTTACACACACCAGGTCTCCACATTTGAACTAATCTCCACCATTCTAATCTGTAAGAATCGTGTCCCGACAGTGGATAGAATCATAGAACTTAGAGAGAACTGCAGCTAGCTGCTACGGAGGCTGTGGTCGCCACACCGTACGCCCAGACTGCTTCGTTTGCGCGTAGATTATAACTTCTCAGAAATGGCGTCTACAACTCGCAAATTTTCACTGTCGACCTCACATTGTCGCGCAACAGTTCCCTCTGCCGTTCAGCCTCCGTTAGAGTCGACTCGAAAGTCGTCCGCTCAACTACCATTTCTACGAGTTCCATTGTTCGCGAAAAGTTCTGCATGTGTTACTCTCTCTTCGGAACGTCGAGGGCTGTCTCAGAAATAGAAAGCAACGGAATGGTTTGGGACTAGCAAGATGGGATACAAGTACTCAACCCTAAAACGGATTGTACT